ATACACACATAAATACATATATACGCACATACACATACATAAACACACATATACATAGGCACATGTACACACATATACACATACATACACATATACACACATATATACACATACACATACATACATATACATACATATACATACATATACACAAGCACACACAAATATACACATATACACACACATATATACACATGCACAGACAGAAACATATTCACATGCATTGCCCACCTTGATTACCTTTGAAAAGCCTTGCAGCTTAAAAACCTGGCTTCTTCCTGCCTGCAGGAAACCTTTGTGGGGAGGTGTGCCTTAGCCCAGATTGTTTTGTGTCTGGAATTCCTGTTTTCTGAGGGCCACAGCAACATGTGGCTAGAGTACTGCTAGTAAATGTATATATTATTAATGATATTATATTATTTATATGTATGTCTCTATAAAACATGAAGCAATCGCGTGAACTCTGGCCAGCATTTCCTGACCCATGTGCCACAAGTTGCCCTGGGCATTCATTTTGTTGGACAAAAGGCAAATGGCCCCTCTTCTCAAATCTCGAAGGGTCAAGGACCGGGCAACTTTGGGATTGGAGACTTTTGGACTTGCTAAATGAATCTTCACAAAGGACACTTCACCTTTCAGACAATGACATTTCCCCTTCCCAATAAAATGTATCAACAGATCCCATCAAGATACCAGTATCGCTGCACCCTTGAACAATGGGCTGGCTCTGAGGGGCCAGATGAAAATGTTGTTTCAAACCTTCATGTCAACAACCAGATTGGGCTTGAGGGCTCTTCAGCTATCATCCAGATCGCCTATCAATGGGCCCAGGAAGGGCCAGTCATAATCCAACCATTAGACAAATATTCTTCTTTGTTGTACCATTGTCGCACCTCCACTGTTGCTATTGGTTGGGAGGGTGGTGATGTCAGAAGCCAGGCTTGGGCTCTCATTGACTGAAACACACCAGCTCCCAGGTGCTCCTCCCAGCTCGATGATGATAGAGAGTCCCCTGATCAATCACAGCAAAGCCGGCTCAGGGAGGCAGGCATGGGAAATTCAAAGGAAAAAAAATGTATAAAAGTGCATGCTTTACTGTGTTATGTATCTTAGCCTACTTTAAGGGTGGATTACTGCAGGGTAGCATCACTTTCAGTTGAAATTAAAGAAATACCTCGGTAGCTTCTGCTTCAACTTGGTGAAATTAATTCTGTAATATTGGCTTCTTTTTCTCACCAGGCTAAACCCATAGTGGCTTGGATCTCACTATCCACAGCCATTTAAAATTGCTCGACAACATCCTCTCTTGCAATTTGAATCCATTGGTTCATGTACTAGCCTCTGGATCAGCTGAAAAAAAATGTCTGTTCTAGTTTCAAGTATTTTAAAATGTATATCATATAATCTCTCATTAATGTAGAAATAAGACAGTTTGGCAGCTGTATGTTGGAGGAAGCAACCTTTATGTAATGTTTGTCTGTTTTATAATAATATTTTATTAGTATGTCATTTTGTTTGTTGTTGTTGTTTATTCGTTCAGTCACTTCCGACTCTTTGTGACTTCATGGACCAACCCATGCCAGAGCTCCCTGTCGGCAGTGGCCATGCCCAGCTCCTTCAAGGTCAAGCCAGTCACTTCAAGGATACCATCCATCCATCTTGCCCTTGATCGGCTCCTCTTCCTTTTTCCTTCCATTTTCCCCAGCATCATTGTCTTCTCTAAGCTTTCCTTTCTTCTCATGATGTGGCCAAAGTACTTCATTTTGCCTCTACTATCCTTCCCTCCAATGAGCAGTCGGGCTTTATTTCCTGAAGTATGGACTGGTTGGATCTTCTCGCTGTCCAAGGCACTCTCAGAACTTTTCTCCAACATCACAGTTCAAAAGCATCTATCTTCGTTGGCTCAGCCTTCCCTATAGTCCAGCTCTCATATCCGTAGGTTATGTGTAACCTGAAGTATATGTCTTGTTTGTCGTTTACAGTTACCTTGTCTCTTTTTACTGAAGCAGTGGAAGGGACTGTAATCATGTGACTGGCTGTTTAGGATGTTCAGTTTTAAAAAGCAATGACAGAGAAGTCAGTTGAGCTTTGAGCCTTGTTAGAGAATATCTATTGGAGCTAGAAATCTTTTACTGTGCAGAAGCTAATGTTAGAAGCTGGTAAATTGTTGAGGCTTGTATTTTCTTTTAAAGCGAACTCTTATTGAGGAGAGCTGTGTGGAGCAGCATGGTTCGTGAAGAAACAGTTAAAGTTTATAAGTCTTAAGATACAAACTCTCCAAATGTTTTTGAAGTTTTAACCCTCAAAAGTGCCTGTATCATTAAAGTTATAAGTAAACAAACATTGTTATTCTAAAAGAAGTTTCTCTGAATCTTTGCCTGCCTAAAGCATCAAGTAAAATCAAGGAATACTCTCTCAAATTCTGCTACCTCTGATGGGTTGCAATCTGAACAGATCGTGATCCACCATCCCAGTACTGTGTACTCCTGGGATGCATGGTTTGGTAAGACACCAGTCCTCTTTGGCAGAGAAGACTAAAAGCCTTGTAAAACTATAACTCCTATGATCCCAATCATTGAGCCATGGCAATTAAAATGGTGTAAATCAGGGGTCCTCAAACGTTTTAAACAGAGGGCCAGATCACAGTCCCTCAAACTGTTGGTGAGCCAGATTATAATTTGAAAAAACATGGATGAATTCCCATGCACACTGCACATATCTTATTTGTAGTGCAAAAGACACTTTAAAACAATACAATATTTAAAATGAAGAACAATTTTTAACAAATATAAACTTATTAGTATTTCAATGGGAAGTATGGGTCTGCTATTGGCTGATGAGATAGGATTGTTGTTGTTGTTGTTGTTGTTGTTGTGTGCTTTCAAGTCATTTCAGACTTAAGTTGACCCTGAACGAGGGCCAGGTAAAGACCTTGGAGGGCCATATCCGGCCCCTGGGCCTTAGTTTGGGGACCCCTGGTGTAGATGTACCATCTTTTCTTCTCCAAGCTAAACACTGGATGTTCCCCAAGTCCTTCCTCAGAGGACTTGGTTGCTGGACCCCTTACCATCTTGGCCACCCTTCTCTGAACTTTCTCCAAATTGGCTATATACTTCCTTCAGTCGGGGTGCCCCAAACTCTCACAATTGCTGAGTTTGTACTTCCTTGGCCACTTTGTGTGTACTCCTTCAAGTCGCCTGCCGCTCACTGAGACACCATGAATTTCATAGGGAATTCTGAGGCAAAGGGATATCCAGAAGTGCTTTTGCCAGTTCCTTCCTCTGAACTATAGCCTAGAGCACCTGGTCTTTATTGGTGATCTCCAATATGAGTACTAACCAGGGCTAACCCTTTCTTAACTACCAAGATCAGATGAGATCTGGTCTCTTTAACTGATAATAATAATCATCAACTTTATACACCTTCACCATCTTCCACGACAATGACTTAAATCAAGAAATAGTTTTCTAAGATCTACAGAGACACTCGCTGGAACACCACAGAAAGCGAGAGTCCAAAAGTGGCAGGCTCAAACCCAGAGCCTCAATCAATGGCTGATACCAAATGAGAGACTCCCCCCTGGGCACACAGAAGACTGGGCAACTTGGAAGGCACTGAACAGACTGCACTCTGGCACCACAAGATGCAGAGCCAATCTTAAGAAATGGCTACAAAGTTGAATCCACGACATGCGAGTGTGGAGAAGAGCACACCAGTGACCACCTGCTGCAATGCAACCTGAGCCCTGCTACATGCACAATGGAGGACCTTCTTGCGGCAACACCAGAAGCACTCCAAGTGGCCAGATACTGGTCAAAGGACATTTAATCAACTACCAAACTTGCAAACTCTGTCTTTTGTATGTATGTATGTTTGTTTGTTTGTTCTGTAAAAAAATGTAACACAACTGTTCGGTTGCCTGACACGATAAATAAATACCATCTTCACCCAAAGGGGACTCGGGGCAGATAACGTGAGGCCAAGCCCAAAGATACAATACAGCAAAATAAAAATACAGAATGCAGACAACAAAAAATTACATCAGAATAAAATACATACAGTAGCAAAATAAAATAAATAAAGCAAATTAACACAATATAAAATCGAACAGAATGGGCAGGCCAAATGGACGAGGTAAAATGATAAAACTCTGGATGAGGTAGGAATAGAAAATATGTAATTGAGGGGAGCCCAAAAAGGATAAACAGTGGGGTAAGGCTTTCAGTTTAGGACGGAAGGAAAGTGCATCATAGGGGCAACACTATAAATAGAGTGAACAGAAATGGAATAAATGGTCACACTCTCCAAAGGCACATTGGAAGAGCCAAGTTTTCAGGTTTTTCTTGAAGGCTGCTAAGGTGGGGGTTTGCCTAATCTCACCAGGTAGTGAGTTCCAAAGGCCACAGCAGAGAAGGCTTTCTCCCTCGTTCCCACAAGTCTTGCCTGTGATAGAGGAAGAGGCGAAAGAAGGAACTCCCCAGAGAATGGGAGGAATCATGCAGGTTGGAGTAAAGTGTTGGCATTTTCCAGTAACATCACAGCATCCAGATTCAAAGAGACAAGAGGAAAGAAGATGAAGAGCCCTTCAGATGCTTGAACTGTTTCAAAATGCTGAGTTGTAAGATGCTGCAATGCTGGAAATGTGAAAACTCAGAACAGAATCCTAACGCTTGGAGGTGGGTACAATGCCTCCCTTTTGCCCCCTCCCTAGAAAGGCAAGGCTCCTACAGCTAAACAGAGGGAGCCCTCAAGGGGGCGGGGCTTGGCCGTAGAAGAAGCGCTGCGCCCGCGGATTGGTCCTCCCGAATTTGGAAAACCCCGCTCTCCAGGCTCCTGTGGCTGGGCTGCGGGAAAGCGCCGCAGCTTTCCAGGTGTCCGCGCTTCTCCTGGGATAGAGCAGCAGTTGGATCCAAAGCCAGAGGGAGAGAAGGTGATGCCAGAGCGCTGAGACTGGGCTTCCCTTGACCAGGATCCCTCCTTTCCCTGGACTCCGAGGAGAGATGGAGATGGGCGCCCCAGTGGGGCTGTTCGTCCTGCTGTTGCTTCTTGCAGAGCCTCGGCGGGTCCATTCAGGTAAGACAGGCACGAGCTGTTTGTCTGTTGTTGTTGTTGTTGTTGTTTTGTGATGTGAGTAATCTATAAAGACCCTAAAGGCAGCAGATCCCCTCTGAGCTTGGATGCTAAGCAGGGTCGACCCTGGATGGCTCTTGGATGGGAGACCAGCAACCCATACTAGGTGCCCTAGTCTCTACTTTAGTGGAAGGAACTGGTCAAACCAATTCTGAGGATTCCCTGCCTAAGAAAGCCCTATGCGATTCATGTGTATACACATGTATCTCTGGAGAGGAATTGTTTTTTGTTTTGTTTTTTTGGTTGTGTCAGGAACTACTTGAAAAACTGCAAGTCGCTTCTGGTGTGAGAGAATTGGCCGTCTGCAAGGACATTGCCCAGGATGTTTGATTTTTTTTAATCATCCTTGTGGGAGGCTTCTTTCATGTCCCCCGCATGAGGAGCTGGAGCTGATAGAGAGAGCTCATCCACGCTCTCCCCGGATTCAAACCTGCGACCTGTCAGTCTTCAGTCCTGCAGGCACAGGGGTTTAATCCACTGCACCACCGGTGGGAACTGGTAAACTTGGGGAGATGGTGAAGGTGTATAAATAAAGTTGATTATTATTATTATTATTATTATTATTATTATTATTATTATCATCAGTTAAAGGGACCAGATCTCATCTGATCTTGGTAGTTAAGAAAGAGTTAGCTCTGGATAGTACTCATATTGGAGATCACCAATGAAGACCAGGTGCTAGGCTATAGTTCAGAGGAAGGAACTGGCAGAAGCACTTCTGGATATCCCTTTGCCTCAGAATGCCCTATTTTTATATATATATATATATATATATATATATATATTGTCATGTCAGGAGCTCCTGTTGTGAGAGAATTGGCCGTCTGCAAGGACGTTGCCCAGGGGACGCCCGGATGATTTGATGTTTTATCATCCTTGTGGGAGGCTTCTCTCATGTCCCCGCATGAGGAGCTGGAGCTGATAGAGGGAGCTCATCCGCCTCTCCCCGGATTCGAACCTGCGACCTGTCGGTCTTCAGTCCTGCCAGCACAGGGGTTTAACCCACTGCGCCACCGGGGGCTCCAGAATGCCCTATGAAATTCATGGTGTCCCAGTGAGGAATAGATTGCCTGGAAGAGCTGGCAGGTTCTCTTTCTTTTAGAGATCTTTAAACAAACCTTTGACAGTGTGTGTGGTCCAAATTGGATTAGATGGCCCTGTAGGTCTCAATGATAGAGACATTGATAGATAATCATTGTCTCTACACACACACAAAAGGATTGTTGAGGAATAAGGACAATTTCAATTATTCCTTCTCCTCCTCTGTTTATTTATACCCCACGTTTTTTGCTCCACATGTGACTCAAAGCAGCTTAGTCTGGAAGCTACAGAGTCCCCTCGGGGAGATAGGGCAGCCTATAAAATATTATTATTATTTTACTGACACAAAAACACAGTATGACACAGCAAACAAGATCTATATGCTGGATTTCATATCACAAAATCACAAGTCAAATACTTCCCAAGTGTTTAGGACTGTGTGATGTATTTTCAAATGATGCAAGCAGATCCATCTTGCCTTTTGCAGTCGACAGTTTGTGATTTTGTCAATGTTTATTGTTTTCAAACGCCTGCTGAGATCTTTTGGCATGGCACCCAGTGTGCCGATTACCACTGGGACCACCTGTACTGGTTTATGCCAGAGCCTTTGCAGTTCGATTTAGAGGTCCTGTTAATAGCTGAGTTTTTTCTGTTGTTTTTTGTCAATTTGACTGTCACCTGGTATGGCAAGATCAATAATCCAAACTTTTTATTTTCCACAATTGTTATGTCTGGTGTATTGTGTTCCAAAACTTTGTCAGTCTGAATTCAAAAGTCCCACAGTATTTTTGCATGTTCATTTTCCACTACCTTAGCAGGTTTATGATCCCACCAGTTCTTTACTGCTGGCAGGTGGTACTTGTAACATAAGTTCCAGTGAATAATTTGGGTCACATAGTTGTGCCTCTGTTTGTAGTCTGTGTGATTTTCTTGCAGCAGGATATGATAAGTGGTTTCATTAGCTTCCTTGCACAGTCTGCATTTTGGGTCATCAGCTGATTTTTCAATCCTGGTCTTAATTGCATTTATTTATTTCAAGCATTTGTACCCCGTCCTTTTCACCCCCGAGGGGGGGACTAAGGGAGGCTTTACAATAGGCAACCATTTGATGCTGAATGTCAAATTAAACTCTCATAATTAAACAAAAGTTAAAACAGTTATAAACATTCAAAGATTTAAAAATTAAATTTTAAAATTCCACCAGTTTAAAATCATGATCTAGGATTGGTCCACTGTCAGTCACATAGGTCATTCTCATTCAAATTACTGTATCTATTGCTCGAAAGCTTGACACCAAAGCCAAGTCTTAAGTTTTTTTTCAAAATGCCAGGAGGGAGGGGGCAGATCTGATACTATTTGGGAAGAAGTTCTACAGCCCAGGAACCACCACTGAAAAGGCCCTGTCTCTCTTCCTGAACAGTCAAGCTTGTGAGGGTGGTGGGACTGAGAGCAGGGCCTCGCCCAATGATCTTAAACTTCTTGATGGTCTGTAGAGGGAGATACGTTCGGACAGGTAAACTGGGATGGAAACATTTAGGGCTTTATAGGCTAAAGAAAGCACTTTGAATTGTGCTCAGTAGCAGATTGGCAGCCAGTGGGGCTAACATAACAGGGGTTTGTGTGCTAATGAGCAATCTGGTTGCCATTTGTTGGACTAGTTGAAGCTTCTGAGTAGTCTTCAGAGGCAACCGCATGTAGAGTGTGTTGCAATAATAATTTGTTCTAATGGTTTGCTCCTGGACTACAAGAATCAGGCCTTCTGTCTCCTTTTTCAGTGTTCCATTCTTGAGCCATAACCAGGTCTTCTCCTTATGAACTTTTCCTTCAATTTTGTCAAGAAACTGCCTGTGCAAAACTTTGTTGTGCCAGCTCTCAGCTTTGATTTGTAGTGCAGTTTTCTTGTACTGATTCTTTATCTGCTGTGCTTTGAGAAGTTTCCGATTATTGATTTCAAGCAGGTACTTTCCTTTCCTTTACATATTATGCCAGGGCATGTTTTTCTTCTTCAACTGCTTGTTTTACTTGTAAAAGTCCTCTGCCACCAGATTTTCTAGGCAGATAGAGCTGATCAACACTGCGAGGATATAATGAGTTATGAATATTCTTGATATTCTGTCCAAATTGTCAAGTTCTGCCTGCATCCAGTTTCTGATGCCAGCAATATATCTTATGACAGGTATGGCCCAGGTGTTTATGGCCTTGATGGTATTGCCTCCATTGAGCTTACTTTCGAGAATTTTTCTGACCCTTTGAATGTATTCTTTGCTGACCACAGTTTTCACATGTTCATGTTTGATGTTGCCCAGCATGTTTGATGTTGTCCAGCTGTAGTATGCCCAGATATTTATAGGCATCTGGCTGGTGACACTTTATCATTTGGCTATTAGGCATATTTATGCCCTCACTTTCAATGATTTTTCCCCTCTTCAGTCAAACATTTGTCCAACTCCATGCTGATATCAGTGCTAAAGATTTGAACAGTGTTAATAAGAGTATTATTATTATTATTATTATTATTATTATTACATTAAGAGCATTTCAAGACAATTTAAAATTTGCAAAAATACAAGCATGAAAACAGAATTCAATATCAACGCTTCTTTTAAAAAAAATACAGTTAAAATCCATTTGAAATATATTCAAAACTAAAATCCACAGTGGCATGTGGTATTTTTCCACTTTGTCCATACAGGAAAGTAAGTAATTCAGACCCACTGGCAGAGAACTTGAGACTTGGTGAGAAGTCTGTGGGTTTCTTGGCTTCTTCTCTCAGGGAATCCAGGGATCGGGTCAGAAGGGATCCAGCCTAGCCCCCCACAATCTATGAAGGGAGAAGAGTCAAGAGAGCCCTCTTCCTTAGCAAGAGATTTGGTGGGTTGGAAAAATTATAGGCTATGTGCCATTCCTTATCCTGCACAGTCCTTAGCCCAAGGCACATGAGCAGCATCTTAACCGGGGTGAGGGGCTTCATGCAGTACTGAAGTTTGTTCTTAGAGACACCCACTAAGAGAGACCTAACTTTGGAGGCCCCGGGAGTGCCGTAATCTGGATGGGCAGCACCAGTTCTTTAGTCACAGGTAGTCTTTTCCTCCAGCCGATGTTGGTATTGCTGAAAATGACATACTTCCTGCTGGATTTTTGCAAGTTGAAGCTGTTGACCAATCACAATGCCCCACCCTTGTCAAAATATGTTGGTTTATTCATGCTGTTGCAAGTATTATCCAGAATTTAGCCTTTTTTGGAGTGCCAGCAGCCAGATGCTGGGAGTTGTAGTTGAAAAAAGTAATTTCCTACTAGATTGTTGTAGGTTTTTCGGGTTGTATGTTTTAGAAGCATTCTCTCCTGATGTTTTGCCTGCATCTGTGGCAAGCATCCTCAGAGGTTGTGAGGTTTGTTGGAAACGAGGAAAATAGGGTTTATAATTATTTTATTTAGTATTTTGTTATTATTTATTTACGATAATTATATACCGCTTTTCTCAGCCCTCAGACAACTCAAAACGGTTAACAAAAGCAAAATTCAATGCTCAAAACATCATAAAACAGTCAAAAACAATTAAAACAGTAACATAATAAACAATCAATATAAATCAATAAAACATCTAATTAGCATCTCATAGTTAAAATCAAMATCCAGTCTCATCATCCAATTGTTCCATATTCCTATGTTCYTTACACTGCCTTTTCAAATGCATGCTCGAACAACCAGGRCTTCACTTTCCTCTGAAATGCTAACAGGGAGGGGGCCAATCTGATGTCTATAGGAAGGGTGTTCCACAGCCAAGGGGCTACCACTGAGAAGACCCTGTCTCTCATCCTTGCCCCCGGTGGTGCAGTGGGTTAAAGCCCTGTGCTGGCAGGACTGAAGACCGACAGGTCGCAGGTTCAAATCCCGGGAGAGGC